GCTTCACGATGCAACATTAATTAGCAAATGAGAACCAGCTTTCTCCTTCACACAATAGCGGCTCTGCTTTTTCTTCTGTCCAGAACGTAATTACTTGGACCCCACGGCTTTCTCTTCAAAACAACAACAACACGTACACGCACAAGCGAACAAGGCCAACGACCCCTCCGCTCTGTTCGTCAGAGGATGCTTCTGTTCAGTGCTTTTGGTTACTAGGGAGGTAAATGAACCTCCTCTTAACTCTTGCCTTTTAGAGCCTTTCAGTGGAGGGAGAACTGGAGCTAAAGTCACTCTAACTGTGCTAAATAAGAATATAATCGCCAGAGGCCCAAAAAGGATGATGGTGTTTGCCAGTGCCACTGGCATCCGCAGATCAGGCATGGTTTCAGACCACGTTCACCCTGCTTATGTCCTCTGCTCCCTGTGGGTTTGGCTACAGGCATGTTGGTCCATACTTCAGCCCTGAAATCTCTTCATTTTACCGCAAGTTGCACAACACACTCACACAAACGTCATCAGAGTCCATCAAGGCTGGGCTTCCAGATCTGAAGGGCTGCCTTTCCACTTCTGTGGTTTTGCATTCTCGTTTCCACACAGGCAGGCTCTCCGAATACAACTTTAAAATGCTGAAAAGGAAACCGAGCATGGGTAGGACCCTTTTTTTTTCTCCCTCCACACTTCCTGAATTTCACATTTCTGGAGGAGAAATTTCGAAATGTTTTAAATGACCTTCAGAAGCAAACGCAAAAGAATAAAGTCACTCTCGTATCTCAGAAACAGGACAAGAGAAAATTGTTCGGTGTGTTCACGCATGATGCCAAAGATGCATTTCCTGCTCTCTGGTCTTTTTCCAGAAAGAAGGAAGGACCCTTTTTCTGTTGGGAATGTCCTATTACAGTTGTGGGCTCTTATTCAATTCATAAGAACTAAGTGTGAACATGAACAACATAGGATGGGCAGATGACTGTGGTATGGAGTAGAGGTGGGAAGAAATTCTTGCTTTCTCTTTTGCCTTCAACAACAGCTGGAATAGCACGAATCAATCAGAGCTCTTCCAGAAGAGTATTTTCGTTAAGTACAAATCTTAATGGAACTTGCCTCAACATACAGATCACGTAGAGACTCCACAGAGGGGGAATAGCTATAAGTTCCCCAAATAGTCCACCCCTTTCCCATTAACTGCCTCTTAAGGACTGAATAACTCACTCTTGAGACCTTTGTAGGAGAAAGAATAGAAACATTTCATTACTTACAGTTGTGAACAGATCAACAGCAAACAAATAAACAACACTCTGCTTTCAATGATTGAAACAGAGGGAAAGAGCACAGAGCAGAGAGGCACACATGGGTTATAAAATACCTTTTTCTTTTTCTTTTTTTAAGAGCCGCCTTTTCTGGCTTGGCATTTGCTACCCGGGCTGTGGGTGATGGGAATTGTAGTCCAGCATCCTTGGAGCATGCCGGCTTGCGGGAGGCCACTATAGAAGAAAGATTCCCTCCCCCAGGCCAGAGCCAGTGACCTCCTTTAAGAGAGTGTTTGCTATCTTCCATTTTAAAAATTCATTCATGCATGGTAGAAAATAAATAAATCGCAAAAAGCAAACACGAAGACTTGGCAGTTCAGCCTGTGCTAGATGGAGAAAGAAAGAAAGTTTCCCCTTCAAATCTTGTGGGAAATCGAAACCGTGCACTCCTTGCCCTGTGAAAATATAAAATCTTTTTAAATATATATATAAACCTGTGCAGGATCCTGGCACACACGTTTGGCCATGATTTTTGGAACATCGAACATATTTTTCTCCATCATCCACAGCTCTGTGGTACCAAACCTAATAAAAATATGTCCCCAATCAAAACCTAGGATATATTTTGTGATTTGTGACCCCTTATTGTCTCTTGTCTCATTCAGAAATCAGAGCGCACAGGGGGGTCTCCCACTGGCAGACCTCAGAAACCTTACTTTTCCATCCATCAATCTTTTATTTGTGGTCTCCAACCCATTAGGAGAAACCTTACTTTTTTTTTTAGATTACAGCTCCCCAAATGCCAAGGCGAGCGAAAACGTTTTCGTCCAAAAAAAAGTACGATTTCCTAGCTCTGCACACTTGTTAAGGGGTGCCTTCAGCAGCTTTTCTCCAGCTCCCTTGATTCCATTCAGTTCATAATCATCACCATGAGAACAGCATGGTTTAGTCGCACCCTCTGCTGGACTGCCAGCGTCTGTGGCATGCTCGGAGGGGAAAGAGTTCGGGATTAACAAGAGGGACTGGCAGGGAAACACTGGGCCTTTATCCCAAACTGGAGGGCTCTTGTTTAGGGTTTCAGCTCGTTGGCCTTGTGGTCCTCACTAAAAGCCCCAATTGTACTTGTTTACATTGCATGCACACCTAATCTTTCCTCCAGAGATCTCAAGGCATTATATTTGGTCCTCAGCAAAACTTGGAAAAGTTTCCTTTTCGGCTTTCAGTTCCCAACATCCTCTACCCCCTGCCCACCCACTTCTGGGCTGCCTGGTTGAAGGATGTAAGGATTTGTGTTTCTCTCTCTTTGTGTTTTTGTGGGTTTCCCCAAACATACAGTATCTTGTTACACGTCCTATTTCTGCAGAAGAGCCTTGTGACTGACAGCCTGGTTCAGGTTTTATTTGCACTTCTGTGTATCTTGGAGGTTCCCCCAACCACACACTGTTACATCTCCCTTGTTTCTCAGCACCTTATTGGCGTCTCCAGTTTTGACAATATTCAGCCACCTGCCTTTTGCTTTTTGAAGGGACTGGTGAGTGTTGCAGTATTTATTTATTTGTTTGTTTGTTTGTTTATTTATACCCCACCTATCTGGTCAATAATCACCTGCATGCTGGAATGTTCCTTGTCATAATTCTATCTATCTATCTATCTATCTATCTATCTACCTACCTACCTACCTACCTACCTACCTAATTTTGAGTCTGATGGCCACTGGCTAATAATCTAATCCAATCTTATTTTACCTTATCTTATCTACCTACCTACTTGCCTGCCTGCCTGCCTGCCTGCCCATCTGTCTGTCTGTCTAGCCATCCATCCATCCATCCATCCATCCATCCATCCATCCATCCATCCATCCATCCATGAATGGCAATACTAAAACTCTACTAAAATTAAAGCACATTAAAACACCTTGGTTAAAAGGCAAATAAATACACGTGACACACCCAGTTCTAGGCTTCTTGCTTTTAGCAGGGCATGGCTGGGAAAGGCCTGGCTGAATAAGAAGATCTGAGCCTGCAGGCAGAAGGAGGCGGCCAAGCTAGCTTGGTAGGGACTTTTGAAGCCTGGGAGCAGCCACAGAAAAGGCCCTCTTCTGTCTTTATTTTTTCACCCAGCCAGTGTGGGACTTAACAAAGGGTCCCTTCCGCTGATCCCAAAGCCTGGTCAGATTTGCACGGGATCATGTGATCTGCCATATATCCAGGATCCAAGTTGTACAGGGCATGCGAGGTGATAGCCAGGACTTTAGACCCGTGCTCAACAACCGACCGATGGCCGGAGAAGCTGTTGTAAAAGGGGAAATCATATGTTCCCTGTGTAAAAGGGTCCCACTCAGCAGTCTGCAAGGTTTAGGGACAGCTAAAGAAAAGGGTCCCACTCAGCAGTCTGCAAGGTTCTGGGACAGCTAAAGTTTCCAAACAGTCTTCAAAGGCAGCCCCTTTGCGACACATGGAAAACGTTATAGTAATGCAAGCAGGATATAACTGGTGGGTTTTTCTGCCCCCAGCAGTTTTATTTAAATCATAAATAGAGGAGAGGAGTTCCAGCGGCCAAAGCCTCCCAACACCACCTTCTGAGCTCACCTTTCCTGCAAGGATGGGAGCCGCTGCAAAACCATGTTGCCAAGAGGAGTTTTTTTAAGTGGATCATTGTACCTTTAGTGCATTGAATGTATTTTGGCGTGGCGTATGCTTTTTGCTATTGTATTCATAGATCCTTTTGGTATTATTTACTCACTGTTGCTGATTTAAATACTGCATTTGAAAAGTTGTAAGACGCCTCGGGTCTTTTTTTAAGGAGGCAGGTTAAAAAATATGCATTTTAAATAAATAATAAATAAAGGCACTGTGTCTAATGCCAGTGCAACTGGTAGTTTATTTATTTATTGGATTTCTATCCCGCCCATCTAGACCAAAGGTCTACTCTAGTTGAATCTTGTGTCAACTTTTGTGCTCTGCATGGCAGTGGTTCCCAGCCTTGGCAGATCAAATGTTGGACTTTAACTCCATGGGCACTGAAGACTTGGCTCTTCCGCCAGGCGTTCCCGGAGCATTAAGATCTCGGCCTCCCTTTTACCAAATGTTGCCATCCTCTTCATCACCCTTTTTACCACCTTCATCACCCTCTGTTTTAATTTACCCTATTTGGCTATGTATTAAATTATTATTTTTAATCATGTTTTAACATTGTTGTTCCTATTGTTGTCAGCCGCCCAGAGTGGCTGGGTTGCCAGGTGGTGCGGGGTATAAATTCAATAGATAATAATAACAATTCTGGGAAAGAGAACCGAAAACATATTAATAAGTAAGTAAGTAAGTAAGTAAGTAAGTAAGTAAGTAAGTAAGTAAGTAAGTAAGTAAGTAAGTAAGTAAGTAAGTAGGTAGGCAGGTAGGTAGGTAGGTAGGTAAGTAGGTAGGTAAGTAGGTAGGTAAGTAAGTAAGTAAGTAAGTAAGCAAGTAAGCAAGCAAGCAAGCAAGCAAGCAAGCAAGCAAGCATACAAAAATGATCAAAAAAGGCCACTCTTGAGAAATTGGGAGGGGGCAACCACAGAAACAGAAAACACAAATACTGTAATACTAACCCAGTCAAAGCAGTGATATTGAGCAGAGTTTGCCCCCCCCCACTGCTGTTGATGACGTTATTGTCTTCTTTGGGGGTTCCCGCAAGCTCCGCCCACAACCCGGAGCCAGCCAATGGCGGGCCGGGGGTGGACCACTCCCCCTGTGCCCCGCCCCCTTGCTCGGAGGCGGAAGAGAAAAGAGGAAGCGCGGCAGATCTTCGCCGGGTCTCCCCTTTGGAGGGACGGAGAGAGAGAGCAATGGGTGTGACCCAGTCTTTGGGGCTCCCCCCCGGGAAGGGGTCCTATCCGGTGGGGTGCACGGACGTGATGGTGGGACAGGCCCAAAAGGTACCGTGGCTGGGACCGTGGAGGCAGGGGACGTTGTGTTGCGTGTCAGGGAGGCTGTGTGGAGGGAGAGGTCTGGGGGTTGGGGGTGGGGTGAGATCGGCTCAGATGTGATCCTGCACCTTATCCAGCCCAGAATATTCACGCAGCAACCAAGAGGGGGGCTTCTTCTTGAAACGGGTGGGTAGATTGTGCGCGTGTGTATGTGTGTACACGTGTATACAACCCTTCCCCCTCTTTATTCCAAGCTGCGTTGACACGCAGAGTTTGAAGGCTCCAGGAAGATGTGAAATGTAAGCCTGGGGAAGCCACCTCCAGCTTGGAAGCAGTCTCTTGGCGCTTTTTTTTTTAAAAAATGATGTTTTTGGAAGAGGTCGCTGTGTTTTATTGATTAGTTTCAACTGTTTTTTTTTTTTTAACCCTGGTTTACTCCTCAGGGAAGGACTCCAAAGGCGGCTGGCCACAGTGTAGGGCAACCGGGGTTTAACAACAGTGAAAGACAGTATTTGCAACAGCAGACCATGAATCGGGTTGGCCTGTGCAACAGATGTCAGAGAAAATTCAAAAAAGCAAAAGTATGGCCATCCGAAAGACCAACTTTGGTATTGTGATGTGAGCTTTTGTGTCATGTCTGAGGAAGTGGACTTGTTCCACAGAAGCTCACATTAAAAATAAAAATCAGTCTTTCAGGTGTCATGGCCTTTTTTCCCTCTGAGTTTTTTTTTGTCCCATATATTTCCTTGATGCAGTTGCTTAGCATGAGGGCGAGAGTTTCATGACGCTGAAATAAGTTCTTGCGCATGTTGACTCAGATGCAAGTTACCCTGAATTTGGTGGGGGAACTTGCGCCATCCTAGGCCACTCATAGTTCTGTCAGTTGAGCAGATCCTGATGGAAACAAATAAATAAATTGGACAGGAGCTCATGTGACAGAAATTATGTCAAGCCGGGGTGGAAGAGCTGGGCTCTGCAGCTGTTGGACAAAAGTGAAATATTGCAACACCTTTGAGACGAACAGATGTTGTCTCCTTGTGAGCGTTCATGGATTGTAAGCCACGACCTTCCACAAACACGCAGGTGGATCCACAGGTTTACACAAGTCAACCCGGTTGTGAGGGTAATGGCTGAGCTGAGAGGGATATAAATCTGTAGCCTAAATACGGTACTTCCTGTGTCTGCGATAATGGAGCGAAATCCACAAAAGTTCACGGAGAAATACGTGAGTTGAAAGGTGCCACCCTATTATTTTTTGTATCCATGCTGAAATAGGCTGGCATGGCCACTTGTCCCCTATCTGATATAGCTATCAGATGGAGACGATGGGAGTTGTAGTCTGAAGGGCCACCAATTCCTTGCAGCTGGTGGAGAGATATCATTTTTGCTGTAGCTGCTTTTTGCTTTTGCAATCTGTGTGGTTCGAAGAGAGGTTTTTTAACCGCACAGGTCTGTTCCACTCGTCTGTCCTGGTTGGTTGTATTTACAGATAAGATACGTAGTCTAATGGCTAAGATGATGAATTAGATTGAGATGCCCTTGTCTGCTGTCAGCCATGAACGCACTAGGTAATGATTTTCCTTTCTTCCGTCCTCTTTCTTGGCACACAAGAATATATGGTCTTCATATATTCTTGTGTCTCGTGGCGCAGTGGTTAAAACGCTGTACTGCAGCCAAAACTGTGCTCACGACCTGGGGTTCAAATCCCAGGTCGCTGGCTCAAGGTTGACTCAGCCTTCTATCCTTCCGAGGTCGGTAAAATGAACACCCAGCTTGGGGGGGGGGTAATGTGTAGCCTGCATAATTACCGTATTTTTCGCACCATAAGACGCACCTTTCCATAAGACGCACCAATTTTTTAGGAGAAGAAAACAGGAAAATATAATCCGTTTTCTTCGCTCCATAAGACGCACAGCCTTTCCACCCCCCTGTTTTGTGGGGGAAAAGTGCATGTTATGAAGCGAAAAATACGGTAAATTGTAAACCGCCCAGAGAGTTCTCGAACCACTATGGGGCGGTATATAAGCAGCACATTTTGCTTTTTCATACTTGCCTACATTACAGGGTTGTCATGAAGACGAAAGAAGTAATGAAGGTGGGGGGGTGAGTCTAAAACTGATGAATGGAGGAAGAAATGACTCGGGGGGGGTCCTGTTTCAAGGGGATACATTCAGAGAGCGGTTGTAGATTTGCAGATTTCGGCACTAGGTTTGAGGGAAGCCCAGACACCCAGAGAAGGTTCTAACACCTTTCTACTAGAATATGTCTACATTGCACAGTTATAGCAATTTGATCACACTTCCCGTTTTTGTAGTGTGGCGAAAAACTTAGAATTCTTGGCGAGGGATGGTTGGCACACTCCTCAAACCGTAGTAAAGAATATTATTAGATTTTTCAGCAGTAATGCTAAAAGGCAGTTTTGCTTACTCTCGGGTTAAATGATTGTGGTTCGGAGAGTGTGTCTCTGTGGTGTTGTGTTGTGGTGACTCACTGTCGCTAGGATCACCAGCTGTTGTTCCGTCTGGGGTAGGGATCAAGCATGAATAACTTGGATGTAGTCCAGATAAGATTTCCAAATGGCCAGGAAAAGGGCCTTTCCTTTCCTGTTCCTGTGGGGTATAGTAGAGCCACAGACTAGGACCCTGGAGAAGAGGGTTCGAATCCCCACTCAGCCACGGAAATTCACTGGGGGACTGGAACTGGCAAAACCACTCCTTAAATATCTCACCCTGTTTGGATCGCTATAATTCGTGCTTGACAGCACAGAACATACACATAGAGCTAAAGGTGGCTTTCTTGTGGCATTTCGTGGCAAAACAGGGCTGAAGGCCCTATTAGCTGTCAACAAATTAGACAAAATGATCAAGGTAATCCCCTGCTAATTGCTATAAAATGGGGAGACGGGGAGGGAAATCAGGAAGGGTCAGATTCTCTCTCTCCACCAACTTTCTGCCAGTGGAATTTGTGTAACAGAGGAGAAGACTCTTTTTTTGGAGACCTTTGCATGCCAGATAGAGAGCTTATGGGGTTTGGATTGGACCCACAACTCACAAGGAGTTGTGTTCCAGAGTTGAAGGCAAAGCAGGCTGAAAGGGCAGCCACTGAGGGCTGTATTCAGAAGTCAGCAACCTCAAACGAAGAAAGAGTTGAGTTTTATTGAAACAAAAGTCCGGGCAAGGCAGGATTTGGTGGAAGTTGTGTGTCATCAGGTTGCTTCCACCTTATGACAAACCCGATAAATATTAGAGATATTCAAGGAGTGGCTTACTATTGCCACCTACCAGTACGTTTTCATGACTGAGCCAGGATTTGAACCCAGGTTTCCTGAGTCCCAGGCCATCCACTGCACCACACCGGCTCTGAAACTCATTGAGGCATTCATGGAAATACAGTGGTGCCTCGCTAGACGATGATAATCCATTCCACTGAAATCGCTGTCTAGCGAAATCATTGTCTAGCGAAAAGCAAATCGTCATCTAGCAAAAATCAGTTTGCGAAGCAGGGACCAAACATTGTCCAGCGAAATTCCCCCATAGGAATCACTGTTTTGCGAATCGTTATAGCGATCGCAAAAAATCAATGTCTAGTGAAAAAACTGTCAGGCGGGGTAACTGTCTAGCGAGGCACCACTGTACGTAACCTTAATTTCTTCCCACTTCTGGTAATCCCGGTGTGATTTAAGCACTTCTCAGAGCTCAGCAACATGTGATGTGGGGATTTGTAAGTGTCACCCAAGATGCCTCTGTCATTGACGAAAAATGACTGGTGGGGGAAATTATTACCACTTAATAGGGTCTTCTGCTAATGTATGTTTAGTTATCAGTGCTTAGAAATGTAACCTTTTAAAAACTACAACTCCCAACGTTCCATTGGGCGTTCTGGCTGAGGATTGCAGGAGTTGTAATAATTAAAAAAAAAAACCTCTGCTAAACTTTGCTTACTTTGTAAATAGTTACATTAGTTCCTGGAGTTCCCCATCAGAACTGGGATCTAGAAGTACCTGTAGTTCAAGTCTCTGACTGCAGAACCAGAGGTTGGGAGTTCGATTCTCCACTGGGCCTCCTTGACCAGGACTGGGCTCAATGATCCATAGGATCACTTCCAGCTCTGTAGATCTTAGATGATGATGATTAAAACAAGGCAGATCAGCTTGATGGATTCTTTCAGGCCTTGAACTCTGGCCCAAGGAAGGTGAGCTTAGCACCATCCTTTATCTAACAAGCAAGCACTTTTTTATTCAAACAGTTTTGGTGTTAAAAAAATCTCAGGCCTTAAGGCTGAAACAGCATCCTCCCCGACCACCGCCTCATCTTCTGGCCCTCTAACCACCTCCTTCTGCTTCAATTCTGCATAACGACATTGGGTGATGATTTCCCCACTTATGTACAGATCTCCATCACCACCATTTTGAAAGCTGTCTTAAGTGGCCTGCTGGCTCAAGGATTTTGGGAGCTGGAGTCCAAAAATGTAACTTCTCTGCATAGCTTGAGTGCAAGTGAGTAGAGAGGGGTGAGACCAAAGCTAAGGTCTAATGACACAACTCTTTTAAGTACATATTCCAAATCCACAAGGTTCTTTCGGAAAAGAGATAACCATTAAACGTACACAAAATGCTGCCCATTTGTCATGCAGGAACGGAGGTCAGAAAAGTTATGTTCTGAACTAGCATCGCCCAAAGAAGCTTCTGGAAACACTGGTCCAAAAAATAAAAACTTTTCTGCCCTTGAAGGGAAATGGAGTCGCCCCTGTCTCCATTTCCCTTCATCACAAAAAGGATGGGGTTTACAGAGGTGAAAGAAGGGGCTTCATGCAGAAACTCCACCAGCCGTTTCCGAGCCTAAGAATGAAAGGTCTTCTAGGGATAATGTCTTATTGCTGACGGACCGTCTTCCCTTCTGTTCCTCAGGGCGTTTTCTTCCGCTTGTTTTATCCTTGCGTCCCTCAAGATGGTGCAGAGCAACCTACCTGGATCCCCCGCTACGAGTACTTCTGCGGGATAGCCGATTACATGAACATGAACAGGAAATGGTGCGCGCCGCTGCTCAACATGACGTTTGGTAAGACGGCTGCTTTATGGCAAGGGCTTTGCTTCCTTGATCCAAAAGGGGTCTCTGCTTCTGCCTGTAATCTTATGGACTAGAAACGTGATCCAGTAAGAGACTGCCTTGCAGGATACGTGCTGCAGGGCTTGACTGAGGCTATACCTTTGAATCTGAAGTGCTGGTAAAATTCAAGACACCATTGTAAACCATCCCGTTATTAGGGAGGGGTGTAAAGCGTGAACCGCTTGTTCGGCGCTAGCCTTGTTCGATTAATTTGTGCTGCTTTCTTCGCCTCAGGGTCCTGCAAAATTCCTGTGAGCTGGGATGCGCCTTTCCGACCACGTTCCCAAAAGTATCCAGTGATCATATTCTCCCACGGATTAGGAGCTTTTCGGTAAGACTCTCGCTCTGATTCCTAAATTCATTCCTTCTTTTATTATACTGTATTTGTAGGACACCCAACTTGGTACAAAACATGACTCACCGTGGTTAACAGCCAGCATAAACAATATCACGACACTCCATTCCCAAACACGATAACACCACATAAAATTATAGGACAGAAAACAGCTAAGGATGGCCATAGGGTGAAATAAAACTGAATCCCATTGTCATGTCAGAGAAGGGTGTCCCTAAGCACTTCCCTGAATCACTCAGGTCTTTAGCAACCTCTTGAAAGTAATCAAGGTGATTACTTTTGACGAACCTCCATGGGAAGCCTGTTCCATAAGGATGGGGCCACGGACCGAGAATGCTTGACTTCTCCTAATAACCTTTTTGAGTTTTTCTTGGAGTGGCCAACCGCAATAATAAGGCTTGATCATCAGCTTTGTTGTTTGGGCCACCCACAGCAATAAGGCTTGATGATAATAATAATAAGTGGCAATAATTTGTTGGTCTTAGCAGGAGATTTACCACTCAAAATAGTTGCTCATGGCCCCCAAAGATGGTCACTGTGGCTCCTAACCCTTCCTTCAACTTTTCCTGGCGAAATGAGTGAATTGCCATTATTGGAAATATTGGAACGTGGAAATTCACCTTTTTGCCAGGTAGGGCAGAGGGCTCCCGGGCGCCATTTCATGCCTGAAACCATCTTGGTTGTTAGAACTTGATGGAGTATTCCAGCCACTTTCAGTCTCATTTTATTTTTTCAATTTTTTGCATTTTTTAAAAGAACCATTTTTGGTTATTTGTGTCGGCCCCTGGAAGATCCAGAGCAGAAAATTACCCTGGACTGTTAACAATGATGATGATGTTAGGAGTATGGGAAGGTGTGTGTATACCCCTCTCTGGAGGCATAGGAACCACAAACAACACCCTTGTGTTGTTGTTTTATTTATAAGAAGGCACGGAGTTCATGTTCAAACCTTTGCACGGCTTCTCCACACACACACACACACACACACACAGTTTTCCTTTCAAGATGGCCTATAGGGAAATTGCTTTTTGAGCCAAACTATTTTCTCACGGGGTGGAAAGAGGTTAACCTTCACCACCCCTCTCTGGCACCTATAGTCCAAACCACCTTCAAGGCTTATAGACCTTCAGCCTCCTTTCCTGAATGGCTCCTGCCAACCCAGTGAAGGTCAATGGCTCCCATTTGACCAGATCTTTTCTTCTTGGTCTCTTGACCATCTCACAGCCTGTTCTCAACTTTCTTGTGCTCCTTCAAGGTGGAGGTCATTACCTCCTTAGAAAGCACTGCTCAGTGCGTTCCAATGGGCTAAATACCTAATCGTCCAGCGAAGATCCTCCATAGGGCGGTCATTTTCCTGTGCCTGTTAAGCAAAAAATCCATCCTAATCACAGCAGGTGACCATTTTGAAATCCGATGATCAGCTGTTTTTAGATTGTCGTAATGCAAAGAATCGGTTCCCGAAGCAGGGAACCGATCATCGTCAAACAAAAATTGCCCATTGAAAATCATTTTGCAGTCACAAAAGTGATCGCAAAAACCTCATCAAGCAGAATCGTTTTGCGATCGCAAAAGCTATCGCAAGAACCTCGTCAAGCGTATTCATCATTTAACAAGGTAATCGTTAAGCGATACACCACTGTATGTATATTTCAGAGTCAGGAGCTTCTTCGCTCCGCTTGGGGCCATCAAGCCCACTCCAAACCTCACTCTCTTCCTGCTAATTGTGCTCAGTTCATCCTATGTCTGCCTTATATTCTCAATTTGGTGGGAAAATTTTCTTGGTGGGCTTTTCTCCGTGTTTCTCCTCTTCCCACTCTTCAGGAGATGCTTTGGAAGCGACAGATCCCAGATCCAGTTAGAAATGGCCTTTTGCTGACAAGCCCTCGAAGCCTCGTGAGCTCATTAGAAAGCACCAAGGGATAACTCTCCATTAGACTGGCTTAGCGCACATCGCTGAAATGGATCTCGGATTAGACAGGAAGATGTCTGGTTGCTTGGACCCATTTCTCCTTCACTGCTGTTAACAAATGCTGTGATCTTGTGTTTTCATTTCCCCCCAGCCACCCTCCCCCAGTGGAGGTCGTGTTTGCCTTCTAAACAGGTTTTTTTGCATTAATGGTGGTAGGTAGGAAAACGGTGGTTTTTCTTTTGAAAAAGCCCAAGGATTTTAGTTGCTTATATGCCACTGGATTATACCGAAGAATGATGGAGGAAAGTGGCCTATTACACTTTCTCCTGTATTCTTCTGTCTGAAATATGAATAAATACGTGGATTTTCTTAAGTTCTTATTTTTCAGAATTTTTTTTTTAAAAAAGGAACTGATCAAAAATCTCCATGATCTACACTGGCCTAATTTGTTAATTAATCATAATCTTGTGCTGTCGAGCCAGTTCTGATTTATGGTGGCTCTTTTTAGCATTTCCTAGGTACAGAGCATGATTCTTGCCCTTCCCTTCCCTGTGTCTACACAGGGATCTCCAGAATCAACTCCCCGGTTCTGGATCTGCAGCCATACACAGAGTCGGCCAGCAGATTCAGTGTGTCATGAAATAGTGCAAATTGTTATTGATTTATTTTGCTTTGCCTATATTTTGAGGGCTGGGTTGAAGAAGTGGGGTTTGTGGGGTTTTCTTCCTTCTGTTGCAAAATATCTGGTTTGGATTCTGATGATGATAAGGACAGAGGTTGGGCCTCTGCCTCAGGCAGCAAAATATATTGAGCCAGCCCTGCTGACCTCCTTTTCTTCCTTCGACTTTCAGAACCGCGTACTCTGCCGTCTGTATTGAAATGGCCTCCCGAGGCTTTCTAGTGTTGGCACTTGAGCACAGGTGAGAAGGCCCTTTGAAACGGACAGCCCTTTTCGGTTGCTTCTTGGCCTACAGACACCCACCCACACACCTTAACATCACTTTCTCTAGGTGGAGGATGATGTATTTGAAGAGGAGAAGGGTCACGGGTGGGCTGAATGAGAACCCTCAATGAGGAACCTCTGTATGGATTCTTAAGAAGAACTCTGTGGCGTTCTGTCATTATTCCCATTTTATATGCTAAGCCAGAGTTTGGAAAAGTTGCTTTTCGACTACAACTTCCAGATGAACTACAACTCCCACCAGCCTGTTCTTGTGGCAGCTCCCCCCACAGGCGTCTCCTTGCTCTCTCTTTTTTCTGTCCCCCCCCCAAAAAAGACCTGCAGCTTATGGAAGCCTCCTGCAGGTGCATGATTTCATTTTTTAAAATTCTCTGTGTGCAGTTTAAACACCCCCAAATAGGCATTGTCCAAAATCAGAAAACGCCACTTCTGTTTTAAAGTCTTACCGTTTGAGGCATTTTTGGTCGTTTCTGTGATCCTAACAGGGCCCCTAATAACACAAAATGAGCCCTGGGACCTACTGAAGTTTGTTCTCTCTCTGTACTTCCAACAAATAAATTAAAAATAATAATAAATTAAGGGCCAGACAGTAAGGGGTGTTTATTTCTCCAAGTATACTTTTAGTGCACAACGGTTCACAAGAGATGGCATCATACAGAAATTCTGGAACGTAATTCTAGATGCCTGCAACAGCAAAAGAGAACAGATAAAATAATTATTCCAGTAGGCGTGAAGAATACTCTGATCAGAACTTCGAAATATTACTCTTTGCTTTCATGCGTTAACATTAAATCGTTCAGAAATCTAATTCATGAGTTTTGAAAGTGTTAAGAACAATCGATAACATGTTACAATACATGTCTTTAACCCTGACATTGGAATAATCTAAAATGTTTCAACAAAGTAACGTGAAACAATAATTGTTGATGAAAAAAAAAATAGTCTTGGCATTTAACACTTAAAGGCATTTTAAAATTGTGTTCGAACATTGAAGAATTTTGGACTAACTGATTTAATGAATCGTTTTCTAGTTCAGCTGATGAAGACCTTTTGGTTTTAAAAAAAAAGGTCTAAGATCTGCTCTGGAGTTTCCTTTTTTGTTCCTGCTTGTTTCTACAAGTACCGAAATATTCTGTATACTTGGTCTTTTCAGAGACCGCTCTGCCTCTGCCACTTTCTTTTGCAAACCGGATCCGGAAGCGCCCGATGGCCCTGGGTCCCAGGTTCATGAAGAATGGCTCTCGTATCAAGGGGTACCCAAAGACCAGAAGGAGTTTCGCTTCCGAAACCCACAGGTATGTTCGGATGTTTTTAAAAACATGGGCTAGAATCCTGTTGGCAGTTTGCACTTGTGTCAGGGTAAATCATTTACAGATTTATCTTGGTGGAAATTGGCCATTTATTTTAAAAAAATGTTGGTTTCCTTCTTAGGCGTGCACAGCAGGTACAGTACATGACTAGGAACGCAACCAGCACTGTGTTAGTAATCAGCAATTTGCTGCCCAGTTTCCCTTATGTAAGCATAAATTGTCAACAGGATTCTGCCCACTTTTTTTTAATGGGGGAAAGAACAAAATTAAGATCAGCATGCTATCTAATATCCCTCTGCAGCTTTAACCTTATCCCTTACTAACCAGCCTGAAAGAAGTTTGTCTGTTTGTTTT